AAGTCGCTAGGATTACAGGCATGCGCCAACATGCCTGGCTAATTTTTTTGTATTTTTAATAAAGACAGGGTTTTGCTATGTTGGCCAAGCTAGTCTCGAACTCCTGAACTCAAGTGATCTGCATACCTCCACTTCCCAAAGTGCTGGGATTACAGGCGTGAGCCACCATGCCCGGCCAAGAATGCAAAATATTCTTGATTTGATTCAATGGACCCTGCCCTCCCAGAGCTCATCTCACAGCTCATACTAATTAACAAACCTACTTACTGAACACCTCCGATAGATCAGGCCTTTGCCAGGCAAATGGGCAGGCACAAGGCAGTGTGCTTGAAGGTGCTCATAGCCTGGTAGGAAATGAACAGGGCAAGGGCAGTCACATGGGACTTGCTGCAAATAAGGTGCAGCAGTTGCTCTGGGAACACTGGAGGTAGCGCAGAGGGGAAGGTACGGAACGGAAAAAGCTGTCCCTGAGATGAGATGGTGATTGTGCTGGGGGGTTCAGGTCTGCGTTTGTTGGGTGCAGAGGGGCAGGGAAAGCTGCTCCCAGCAGTGTGGACAGAAATTACTGGAGTTCAACATAAAGGCTGTGTGGGGTTGCATGAATACTCGTAAATAAATAAACAATAAATAATCACCTTGGCAGCACCCACAGGGCCTCAGGGACTGCTGGCGGGTGGCGTGAGCCTGGTCTGAGTCTATTAAGAACATCCTTGTTGGATGGTTAATGAGTGAGCAGACTTTAGGGGGATCAGAAAGTTATCATAGGTGAGATGCAGCTTTAAATATAGAGCTATGAACATTGAATTCCAAAGCATTCTTGTTACCAGTGGACAGTGCCCAAGTTCTTGGCATTTTTAACAAAAAATTGGAGAAAAGGCACAAAGCAAGGAAAGAAAGAAGCAACAAAAGCAGAGATTTATTGAAAGCGAAAGTACATTCCACAGGGTGGGAGCAGGCAGAGTACAGGGACTCAAGAGCCCTGTTACAGAATTTTCTGCACTTAAATACCCTCTAGAGGTTTCCCATTGGTTACTTGGTGTGCATCCTATGTAAATGAAGTAGTAGCCTGCAATCAGAGGCTAAAGTGAAGTTACAAGGTTACACTTCTATGCAAATCAAAACTTGGCTCACGATCAGTCTGATTGGTTGGGGAAAGCAACCAATCAGAGGCTGAAGTGAAGTTACAAAGTTACATTCCTATGCGAATGTCTGATTGGTTGCAGAAAGCAACCAATCAGAGATACATTCGATTTTCCATCTGCTACACAGAGAATGGGGAGGAGGTTGCAAAGGGAGCAGCCGCGGGTCTTTTTATTACATAGGTGTGGAAAGTTGGGGTTTTCCTTTTGATTTAGTTCTAGGAAGTCAGTGTGAATCGGCCTTAGGTTCTTAGGTTCTCTGCCTCCAGACCCTATTCTCCTGCCTCATTCCGAGAGAAAGGCATCATAGTTTTGCAGTATCCTACGCTGCTGCAGAGCTGGAGTTGCTGCCTTTGGCAGGAACTGCAGCCTCTGCTGGGCTGACTTCTCCTGAGCGAGGGGTCCTCAGCATCCTAGTTGAATGTTTTGTGCATGGTCTCCCCCGAGATCTCACCCGAGCTTGAGATTCTGCAAGACAAACTGCCTTAAGGCTACTACTGCAACTCCCTGGACTCCTTCCTGTTCATGCTTTTGACACAAGGCCCCCTCGCCCCACGTTTGGCGTAGAAGTTACGCCAGCATCGCTCACCCTGGGTACATCCTGGGTGCATCCTTCCATGCTGATTAGGCGGGCTGCTGTGTAAACTGCCTTTCACATTTCAGCCTCACTGAAGACAGCCTCTGAGGGTGACTCACCTCATCTGACTTTACTTTCTGCAGCCAAAGAACATGGTCATCCCACATAGGGGGTTGACAAGGTCTTCTCAAGCAATTCTTTCCCATCGCGCAACCCAATTAAGAAGATAAAAAATTCTCACACTCAAGGAACTCCAGGGTTCTTAGGTCACACAAATGTGGGCTAGGGGAAGAGGTTAGTCTTTTTTGCCAATTGTTAAAATCATCAGTCCCCTAGATTTGAAAAGATACATCTTCTGGAAGAAGTCTGCTTTTTAGCTTCATCATCTAGGAAAGAAATTTGTCCATTTAGGATAAACATCAGCTCTCCTAAATGCTTTGGTGAGGACAGAAACGTATTGTAAATTTTCAAATAAAATCAGGAGGCTATAGCTGAATTAGAAATTCCATTTGTTTTGCTATTCCAGTGACAGTCTACTTATTCTTGTATAAATAAATAGAAGTCTAGGGACCCTGAACTAGTCACCTTTCCTCTAATTTCCACTCAATGAGCATCTTGGCAGAACACTAGTACCAATATGATCCCTGCACATGCCAGTGAGGTAATAAAGACAGAAGAGGTTTCAATATGTCAGCCAGGTATTACTTGTCATTTTTAAAAGTTACTTTCAGCTGGGCGTGGTAGCTCACATCTGTAATCCCAGCACTTTGGGAGGCTGAGGCAGGTAGATCTCTTGAGGTCAGGAGTTCAAGACCAGTCTAGCCAACATGGTGAAACCCTGTCTCTACTAATAAAACAAAAATTAGCCGGCCGTGGCGGCAGGCACCTGTAATCCCTGCTACTAGGAGGCTGAGGCAGGAGAATTGCTTGAATCTGTAAGGAGGAGGTTGCAGTGAGCCAAGATCACACCGTTGCACTCCAGCCTGGGCAACAGAGCGAGACATCACATAGGAAAAAAAGTTACCTTCCTCCAATATTAACATGCAAATGCATTGTTAGTAGATAACATCATGGGTCGATATTAATACTCCTTAGCATACTGCTTTCCTGTGACATCCCTAAACTCTTAATTCCTCATTGCAAGTATTTCAAAAGCAAACAACAACAAAAAACCAAAGTACTAAGCTAAAAAGGAACCTTTCAGATCTTTCAGGAACTTTTAGAAGAACGTTTTGATCATTTTGGGGACAGTTCAGTATAAACACATAAGTCATGCATAAGAATATTTGAGTCAGGCACAATAGCTCACGCCTGTAATCCCAGCATTTTGGGAGGCTGAGGCAGCAGATCACCTGGGGTCAGGAGTTCGAGACCACCCTACCAACATGGAGAAATTCCGTCTCTACTAAAAATGCAAAATTAATCGGGCATGGTGGTGCATGCCTGTAATCCCAGTTACTCCGGGGAGGCTGAGGCAAGAGAATCGCTTGAACCCGGAAGGCGGAGGTTGCGGTGAGCTAAGATCATGACATTGCACTCCAGCCTCGGCAACAAGAGTGAAACTCCTCTCTCTCTCTCTCTCTCACACACACACACACACACACAAACAGCCAGGTGTGGTGGCAGGTGCCTGTGGTCCCAGTTACTTGGGAGGCTGAAGTGGCAGGATTACTTGAGCCCAGGAGTTCAAGGCTGCCCTGAGCTGAGATCACGGCATTGCACTCCAGCCTGGGTGACAGAGTGAGAGCCTGTCTCAAAACAAACAAACTAACTAAATGTTCCACCACAAGCTTATCCTTATTGGACTTTTACCACATGTCAGACATTGTTTTAAATGCTTTTTTTATATAACTCATTTAATGTATCTCTCCTCCATTTTTAGATAAGAAACTGAGGCAGGGAGAGGGTAACTATGTCACAGGCTAAGTAGAAGTGAGGCACAAATTTGAACCCAGATGGCCCTGGAGTATGTATTATAACTTTACCCAGGATAGCGTCTTGCCTGACTGAAATGGTTAAAGAAGTGAGCCACGTTCTATGAAACTTTGTGCGTGTAAAAGATTACATTTTAGAGGCCGGGTGTGGTGGCTCATGCCTGAAATCCCAGCACTTTGGGTGCCCAAGGCGGGTGGATCACTTGAGGTCAGGAGTTGAAGACCAGTCTGGCCAACACAGTGAAACCCCAACTCCACTAAAAATGGAGAAAAATAGCCAAGAGTGGCGGCGCACGCCTGTAATCCCAGCTATTCGGGAGGCTGACATATGAGAATCGCTTGAACTCGGGAGGCGGAGGTTGCGGTGGGCTGAGATTACACCACTGTCCTCCAGCCTGGGTGACAGAGTGAGACTCCATCTCAAAAAAAAAAAAAAAAAAAAAAAAAAAAAAAAAAAACCACGAAAATTAGCCGGCCGTGGTGGCATGCACCTGTAACCCCAGCTACTGTGGAGGCTGAGACACGAGAATCGCTTGCACTTGGGAGGTGGAGGTTGCAGTGAGCAGAGATAGCACCAACTGCAACTCAGCCTGGGCAACAGAGTGAGACTGTGTCTCAAAAAAGAAAAAAAAATTACATTTGAGAATATTTAATAATGAGAAAATGCTCATATTACTGTGTTAAGTGTAGGAATAAAACTGTATATACACAATAATATCATAGGTATGTGTGTAGATAAATGCCACACACATACACACATGGAAAAAACATACTAGGACATACTAGGAATTACCCTAGCATGTTAGCAGTGGTTATCACCTGGGTGAAGGAATTATGATTGGATTATTATCAGTAATTATTAGTTTATGTTTGTTGTCTTTTCCAAAGTTTTCCACCCTTAAACATGTTTTTTCACATAAAAAAAACAGTATTTTTAAATCGGAGCCTCGCAGATCTCTTCTGCTCAGTATGACACTAAGAGAGGTCCTGGAGGTCTCAACGAGCGAAGGGGAGGGAGCGGGGGATGAGACCCGGTGATCTCGACTCCCTCTCGGAGACGGAGAGAGGAGGCCCGCTCCGTGCTCCTCCGTGCTCGTGCCTTGCCTGCTTTTCCGCTCACGGTCGCTCACCCGACCCCTGGGGTCCAGAACGGTTGCCCTGGGAGCCCCGGCTCGCCGTCAGCAGGCACAGGTGCGGTCTACACCGCCATCTGCGGCGCTGGGGAAGGAGTGGGCGTGTCCCCTGGGTCTCCGCCGACCGCTCCCGGGGCGCCACGCCCACCGCGCGCCCCACTTGAGCACTCCCCTCGCGGAGCGCCCCTCCCGCGTGGCCTCCCCAAGCCCCGGGTACCTGCAGGGCCATGGTGGCGGCCGCCGCGTTGCTGCTGCAGCTGTTATCCGGTGCTCTGCCCCCTAGGGCGCCCGCGGCTTCTTAAAGGGCCGCGTCTCCGCCAGCCGCTGCCATTGGCCCCGCTCCCGGCCCGGCCGCCTCCCATTGGTCGCGGGCGCGGGGGCGAGGCTGGGCTGTGAGCTCCTTAGAGCGCGGGGTTGCCCGGGCTGCAAATGGAAAGACCAAGAGAAGAGAATTTAAATGAGTTTCTCCTCGCTCTGGGCTCTCTCTTCTATTCTTTCTCAAGAGGGTCTTTGCAGGAAACCCAGAGAGGTCTCCCCAGGGCACAGGCCTCCCCTGGAATGCCTTCTTAAAAAAGAAGAAAGAAAGAAAGAAAGAGAGAGGAAAGAAAGAATATACATATTTATCTAGAGAGACCCCCCCAACTCTAAAATATATACGTAATGTCTTTAATTTTTAAAAAATGTATATATGTAAATATGTATTGACCGGGGGCAGTGGCTCACTCCTGTAATCCCAACACTTTGGGAGGCTGAGGCCGGCAGATCACCTGAGGTCGGGAGTTCGGGACCAGCCTGACCAACATGGAGAAACCTGGTGTCCACTAAAAATACAAAATTAGCTGGGTGTGGTGGCGCATACCTGTAATCCCAGCTACTCGGGAGGCTGAGGCAGGAGAATCTCTTGAACCTGGAAGGTGGAGGTTGCTGTGAGCCGAGATTGCGCCATTGCACTCCAGCCTGGGAAACAAGTGTGAAACTCCATCTCAAAAAAAAAAAAAAAAAAAGGAATAAATAAATATATATGCATTTAAAATTTTATACAGAGGTGAGGGGTCTTGCTAGGTATATATAAAATATTTTTTCTCTAAAAATTTATATTTAAAATTTTAAAAATTAAAAATTTTATACATTAAAAGTACAAATTAAAATATATATATATATATATATATATATATATATATATATATATATATATATATTTTTTTTTTTTTTAAAAGAGAGGTGAGGTTGCCCAGGCTGGTCTTGAACTCCTGACCTCAAGCAATCCTCCCACCTTGGCCTCCTGAAGCACAGGATTCCTTCTTTATACATACTTCTCTCCTGTCCATTATTCCTAGAAACGTGAATGATGAATGCGTCTCCTCCACTCTGCCTCTAGGCGCAGTTTATCATGAGTGAAAGTGGCCTGTGGTTTGCACCTCTTCTCCTCTTTATAAAGCAAAAACACCTAAATTCTGGACACATGCTACAATCAGCCTAACTCGTTTTTAATTATGGTAAAGGCACAGGACTAAAAGCCTATTCAATTTGACCCAGTTTTCCAGGGAAACAAACCCAGTGTCACTCCAAGTCTGCAGACACGCCGAATAGGATTACATTTCCAAAGGACTGGAACCGAATTGGCTGGTCATATGAGGAGCTAATTTCCGACGCTTCGCATTGATGGAGAAGGGTGACTGGGAGAAAAAAGAAACTCAATACGGCAAAGTGACTGAGCTTGAGCGTACGACAATGCAACAAGCAACCTTTCAGCTTGTTTTTGCATAAAGCTACATTTAAAAAATATTTGCTTTTTCATGAAAATCTTTTTTTTTCTCCTCACAAATATTTTCGTGGTGAAATCAGTGCATTTCCAAGTAAAGGACCAAAAGCAAAATGTTAGAAAAACCTACTGGGCAGTTGTTTGTGTTTGAAGTCCTAGACGATGGGAAAGGTCCCGTGGGGTACTAAGGCTCACGGCAGCTTCAGCACAGCCTGGCCTTCCTCTGGTAACCTAGTCCTGGCTGCCTGCAGCACCCGGTCCGCGGTGTTTCAGCGGGAAATACTGCACTGAGTGCGGGTATCAGTCCATATCTTCAGCTGAGACATTCTGGAATTATCGTCGCTGTAAGAAACCAGAAGAGGGGAGGGACGGACGCTACATTGTTTTCTGCTTTATTCTCTAAATCCAGAATGTTCTTTTAAGACCTCTTTTGAAAGTATTTTCTTCTCCTGGGTTGCCATTCCCCATCTCATTGCCAGGTCATGTGGGTCTTGTCTCAAGACGCAAGAAAGGGCCAGGCACGGTGGCTCATGTCTGTAACCCCAGCACTTTGGGAGGCCGAGGTGGACAGATGATTTGAGGTCAGGAGTTCGAGACCAGTCTGGCCAACATGGCAAAAACTTTTCTTCTAAAAATCTCTTCTAAAAATACAAAAATTAGCTGGGCATGCTGGCAGGCACCTGTAATCCCAGCTATTTGAGAGGCTGAGGCAAGGAGAATTGCTTGAACCTGGGAGCCAGAGGTTGCAGTGAGCCAAGATCATGCCACTGCTCTCCAGCCTGGGCAACAGAGTGAGACTCTTGTCTCAAAAATAAATAAATAAATAAAAGAAAATAAAATAAAAACCATAGCATGAGTTTCAGAATAGGTTTTTATTTTTCTATTTTAAAAAAACATCCATTGGGATTCTGATAGGGATTGCATTGAATCTTTAATACCGTCAAGATGAACACTTCTTAACCATGGCAGTGCATTCAATTACCTGGAAAAAAGACACAAACCCCAATCTGATCCCTATTTCCCACCACCATTTTGATGTAATGGCTGTAGGGTTGGACCCAAGCCTCACGAATGATGCATCCAGGGTTTTGCTCTCTTCTCTACAATGACAATTTAGCTCTCCTTCTCTGAATAATACATGTGGTCCTCCAGGATGGACCAGGTCCTGCTGACCTCTTCAACCACATCTCTCACTCTTTCCCACAGGCATGGATGCTCTACCCTGAGTAACTGAAGGACTTCAACTTCCCTTTCTCCAGGTTGTTGGATAGTTGCCGCTCCACTGTCTGGAACACTCTTTTTCTTCTTTAATTTTCTTTTCCCTCCCTCCCTCCCTCCCTCCCTCTCTCTTTTTCTCTTTCTTTCTTTCTTTTCCTCCCTTCCTTCCTTCCTTCCTTCCTTCCCCTTCCTTCCTTCCCTCCCTCCTTTCTTTTTTTTCTTTTCCTTCCTTCCTTCCTTTCTCTCTCTCTTTCTTTCTTTCCCTTCCGTTCCTTTCCTTTCTTTTTTTCTTTCTTCTCTCTCTCTCTCGTTTGTTTTTGAGATGGAGTCTCAATCTATCACCCAGGCTGGAGTTCAATGGCAAGATCTTGGCTCACTGCAACCTCCACCTCCTGGATTCAAGTGATTCTCCTGCCTCAGCCTCCCTAGTAGCTGGGATTACAGGCGTATGCCACCGTGCCCGGCTAATTTTTGTATTTTCAGTAGAGATGGGGTTTCGCCATGTTGGCCAGGCTGGTTTCGAACCCCTGACCTCAAGTGATCCACCTGCCTTGGCCTCCCAAAGTGTTGGGACTACAGGTGTGAGCCACCACACCTGGCTCTTTTCCCACTTTCTTAACTAAGCCAACTCTTAAGACTCAGTCAACATGGCAACACCTCCAGGAAGACTTTGAGACAAGAAATAGCTTTAGTCTGGTCTTCTGGCCTATGAGCCTCTGGCCATCTCTCTCCGTCTTTCTTCTGTTCTCATTCTTACCTACCTTCAAAGGGTTTCTACTCCACTTGGCCTCCCGGCTGTTCAAACAGGCCTATTGCACTCCTGCTCTCGCATCTCTACCTCAGAATTATCTTCCCATGGTCAGCCTGGCTCAGTGCTTCCACTCCTCTAGGTCTTTGCTCATCTGTCATCTCTCAGGAGGCCTTTTATCACCCATCCTAGCACCCCCTTCCACTCTTCCTTGCTTTTTCTTCTCTCTTTCTTTCTTTCTTTCTTTCTTTCTTTCTTTCTTTCTTTCTTTCTTTCTTTCTTTCTTTCTTTCTTTCTTTCTTTCTCTCTCTCTCTCTTTCTCTCTTTCTCTCTTTCTTTCTTAGACAGAGTCTCACTCTATTGCCCAGGCTGGGGTACAGTGGCATGATCTCGATTCATGCAAACTCCACCTCCCAGGTTCAAGTGATTTTCCTACCTCAGCCTTCCGAGTAGCTGGAATTACAGGTGTGCGCCACCACATCCAGCTAATTTTTGTATTTTTAGTAGAGACCAGGTTTCACCATGTTGGCCAGGCTGGTCTCGAACTCCTTACCTCAAGTGATCCACCCGCCTCAGCTTCCCAAACTGCTGGGATTACAGGCGTGAGCCACCACACCTGGCCTTCCCTGCTTTTTTTCTGTAGCACTTTGAATCATCTGACAACTTATATCATTTACGTTCTTTGTTTACCCTTTCTCCTCCTTTAGAACTCTGGCTCACCGCTTTATCCTCAACACTAGCAATTCAATGAATATCGTACCTATGGGAAAAGAAGAGGGGTGGGGAAGAAAGGGGGGAAGGGGATAGAAAGGAAGGATTAAAGGTCTTTCGAATTTCCCTATTTTCATAAGACAGCACTGCCAAGACCCCTGATAACCTTGGACATCCCCACATAGCCACATAGCCAAGGCCTGACTGCAGTCTACCCTGAGTCCTGGACAAATGCCTGGATTTCCCTGGCAGCAAGGTTTCCTTTTTTTTTTTTTTTTTTTTTTTTTTTGATTGAGTGAGGAGACTTTATTGATGGCACACGACAAGGTGGGGCTCCCTAGGTGTCTCCCTCTTCACGCGGTCTGCGTGGAAACTGCGAGGAGGGGAGATTCTCCGTGTGGTGGGGCCTGAGTGGCGCACGGACTCTCCAGCAGTGAGGGCCTCTCTCTTCCTCTCGTGCTCTCACTGGGTCTGGTGGTCCAGGGGTCTTACTCCTTGGAGGCCATATGAGCTCTACCACCCTGTTGCTGTAGCCAAACTCATCGTCCTATCAGGAAATGTGTTTGACAAAGTGGTCATCGAGGGCAATGCCAGCTCCAGCATCGAAGGTGAAAGAGTGGGTGTCGCTGTTGAAGTTGGAGGAGATGACCTGGTGCTCGGTGTAGCCCCGGATGCCCTTGAGGGGCCCTCCAAAGCCTGCTTCACCACCTTCCTGATGTCATCCTATTTGGCAGATTTTTCCAGATGGCAGGTCAGGTCCATGACTGACACGCTGGCAGTAGGGACACAGAAGGCCATGCCAGGGAGCTTCCGGTTCAGCTCAAGGATGACCTTGCCCACAGGGCTTACCTATCTTATAGAAGAGTCTGACAGGGGTGTTTCTCATCTATGTCTCTAGTTTAGTTGAGACTAGGGCTTTCCATCTTCTCCTTTCTCTGCACCCCCTACAAGTTGCTTCACTTTAGGACAGAGCCACAGGTTTCTGTGTAAGTCTGGAACTGCTTGCTGAAGTTTACAGTTTGTTCCTTGACAGAGTGACCTACCACTCATAACACCTGTCATCCGACCTCTGAGACTGGCAATGCTGTCCCATGGGATTAGAGATGCAGGGAGCTGACATCATGTTGGTCTTGATTTTGCTGTTTTGTGAGGCCTGAGAATTGCTTAACTGCTTGAAACTCCTCACCTTCACCTTGTCTCTGTGGACATAGATATTCCTTGGAGTACTATACAGTCCCAATTAATAGAGCTTTCAATACTCATTTTGCAGCTCATCATTAAAATTCATGCTTAGTAACTGATGTAAAATAACGAATTGTTTACCTAACAACTATTGTTATACATGATACCACACACACACACACACACACACACACACACACAGAGAGAGAGAGAGAGAGAGAGAGAGAGAGAGAGAGAGAGAGAGCGCACTAAGGTCAGAATACCATGGAGGAAAAGAAGAATAGAAGAATCTGGTGGTCAATTCCCTTACATTCTTCTGTTGACAAATTTTCTTGTTGGGACCTTCACTTATTTCATCAAAAGATGGTGGCTAATTATATAATTTATTACTCAGAAGCTTTTTATGTATTTATTTGTTTTGGAGACAGGGTCTCACCATGTTGCCCAGGCTGGAGTGCAATGATGTGATCATAGCTCACGGTAGCCTCCACTTTCTACGCTCAAGCAATCCTCCAGCCTCAGCCCCAGGAGTAGCTGGGACTACAGGCACACACCATGCCTAGCTTTTTTTTTTTTTTTTTTAGATACGGGGTTTTGTCATGTTGCCTAGGCTGGTCTTGAACTCCTGGGCTCAAGCAATCCTCCTGCCTCAGCCTCCCAAAATGCTGGGATTACAGGTGTGAGCCACCACAGCCGGCCATCACTCAGAATCTTAAGTCATTGTCAAACAATGGAAAGCATACAAATCAAACAGTAGTCCAATTCTAGAATATAAAAAGAAAGCTCTAATATTCAAAGACCAAACAGATTTTACAGGACTGTCATTACTGTCATTAAAAAGTAAAACTGGCCAGTTGTGGTGGTGCGTATCTGTAATACCAGCACTCTGGGAGGCCGAGGTGGGAGCATTACTTGAGCCCAGGAGTCTAAGACCAGCCTGGGCAACATGGTGAGACCCCATCTCTACAAAAAGTACAAAAATTAGCCAGGCTTGGTGGCATGCTCCTGTAGTCCCAGCTACTCGGGAGGCTGAGGTGGGAGGATCACTTGTGCTTGGGAGGAGGTTGCAGTGAGCTGAGATGGTACCATTTAGCCTGGGCAACAGAGCAAGATCCTGTCTCAAAAATAAACAAAACAAAACTGATTCTTCAGAATAGGATATCAAATATGTAAAGTAATAATTTGAGAAACATGAAAAAGTGTTATGTGTGAAGAAAATCAGAAGATTGAATCTGTATTATTTTAATGTAAAAGCACGCACATATGTGAAACAAAGTAGAAGGGAACACTAAAGAAAAAATGGGTGTGATTGGGTCATGGGAGCATGTTTGTTACTTTTTGGTTGTAATGTTTGTGTGATACAAGAGGGAGAGAAATTACTTTCGAAATGTACTTGTTAATTTTAGCAAAATCCTTGTAGAAATTAAACTGCTAGTTTCAAAATAAAACACAAGCACTAAAATAATAGAGGTTATGTTTCATTTTTATTAACTTAGTTTTGCCATGGTTGAGACTGGATTCACCACAGTTCAATTTATCAAGCACTTAACTATGTGTTCCGCACATAATAATCATCTTAGCATAGAGGATCATCTCTTCTAATCCTCACAAGAGATACTATTTTTATCACTTCATAGAGGAGGTTAATAAACTTGACTAGGTCATAAGATCTTCAGTTGAAGTTAGGATTTCAACCCAGAGCCAAGTAATGTAATGGCTGATGTTTTCCACAGAGAAAATGTAAGCTGAGATGATGCTCAAACTATAAATCTGGAACCTTAGGGGGACAAAAACGTATGGATGTCTCCTTCCTATTACTTTAGCATTTTAATTAGACCCGTGTGTCTCTATTTGTTTTTGGACATGCAAGCTGCTTGCAGTTCATCATAGCGAATTCACACAATTCATTTGATGAAACACAAACCTGTTCTTACAAACTCACTGTCATCTCTTTTTAATCTTACTAATTCCGATAAAAATCACATTGCACTTTACCCTGTGTCACCTCCAATGATCTCTGACCGAAAGCCAAATCTTCTTTGTGTGTTTGCTTTATGGACAGTTAGGTTCTACACAGGTACTTAAACATGAAAATTGAAATCATAGAGGCTGGGCACCGTGGTTCAAGCCTGTAATCCCAGCACTTTGGAAGGCCGAGGCAGGCGGATCACCTGAGGTCAGGATTTCGAGACCAGCCTGACTAACATGGTGAAACACTGTCTCTACTAAAAATACAAAAATTAGCTGGGCTGGTGGCCTGTGCCTGTAATCCCAGCTACTCAGGAGGCTGAGGCAGGAGAATCGCTTGAACCCGTGAGGCGGTGGTTGGAGTGAGCCAGAATCACGCTATTGCACTCCAGCCTGGGACACGAGGGCGAAACTGTCTCAAAAAAATAATAATAATAAAGCACAGAAACTATACCAGAAAATAGGAAACAAAACGAACAGTGAAGAGAGTGAGAAAAGGAGGCAGATATATGGAAGAGGAAAAGGAAGGGGGCCCAAGTGAGGCCGGAAAAACCGGGGAGGAGGAGGTGGCTCATTAGGTCAGAAGCAACCTGCCGTCTTCTAAGTTCTGGCCAAGGGTAGATCAACGGATCCAGATTCCTGAGTTTTAAAATGTTATTAGGCTGCTTCATCACTTGTCCCTGACGTTGCAGCGACTCCGATGGTAACTTTAGTCTCCATTGCTTGGAGCAGCCACAGTGTACACCGGACAGGATATTCCGCGCAGCTGTTGCTGAACTCAAGGCAACTCCTATCGCCTTTCTCTTTTCGGAGCTCAAGATTCCTTGCATTATTGCCCATAGGCATGTGTTTTACCCCACACTCCTTCTCCCTTTTATCTTGATTTTCGTGGTGCTGGGGAGTCTGCAGGGATTCCATGGCGACGGGTTCACTGGGACAGGGGCTGGGGTTGTGCGTCCCTGAGGCAAAGCAAATACAGAAAAGGGAATAGAGATAGAGGGCTAAGACTCCCAGGCACTGAAAGGTAGAAACTGGGTTATAAGAGAGAGGGGAGCACAGACGCCCGGAGAGAGCCTGCCCTCGGGATACCACTGGCGGTAGGCTGGCCTCCGAACAACTAGAAGGTCCAAGCCCTGAGCGTCTGGTTACCCGGGCAACTTTATGGTCTCGCGATACAGACCTCGCGCCTGCGCACTGCCGTTGTAGGGGCCCAGTCCGGAGCCCCCACCCCGGGGCCTAAACTCGAATCTAAAAGATGGGGCCTCGTTGTGTTGTTTCCGGGCCGCGCGACGCTGTGGGCTGCTTTCCCCTTTCCGGAGTGACCTAACACAGGATAACGAAACCTGCAGTGCTCCTAGCGCTTCCGCTCCGCCCCGTCGCGTCTGGGAGGCGAAGCCGGGAGGCGAGCGCTCTGCGCATGCGCGGCGCAGGCGCACTTGGAGCCGGTGCTGCAACCCTCAGGTGAAGGCGGATCCGCCACCGTGAGTTCCAGGTGGGCGCGCGCGGGGCCCACGTAGGGCAGGAGGCCAGCCCCGGGGGGATCGGGCCCGGGACTCCACGGAATCTGGAGGCCGAAGCCCGCGCGCACGCAAGGCCTCCGCTGCTTCCCCGACGCCTCTTGCGTGGCCGCGGAACCCGCCGCCCTCTCGGTTGGGCTACCCAGTCCCGGGCCAGTCGTGTGCACCCAGAGCTTCCGCGCCTCTCCTCGGGCTCCTCTGCTGGATTGCAGCGCCGTCTGGGCACCAGGAGTGCAAAGCGAAAACCGCACGCCGGCCGTTCTGTTCTCCACGGTCTCCAAGGAGACACGGACCGATCCAGGGGCGGCGTGCAGTGGGGAGGTGAGCTTTGGGTCGGCCGTCGCCCCTCGGCTACCGGCGGGATCCAGAAACCGGAAGTCACCACCGATACCCTTCTCACCTTTACTCCCAGCTGGTCACTACTGTGTCGGGAGATTCTACCTTCTTTTCCGACTAACATGTATTTCTCTCCAGTCCTTTCTGCGGTGTCTCTAGTGTAGGCCACCGCCATTTCTAACCTGGACGACTCCGGGGGCGTGTTTGCTGCTCAAGGATTCTTCCTTTGCCCAGATCCACAAAGATCTATAACGTCTTTCTAATCATGACGCCTCTGCTTTAGACGTTAAAGTTGCTTCACACTGGAAGGCTTGCAAAGGTCTTCATTATCTGGTCCTTACCCACCTTTCCTAGTTTCTCACTGCTTTCTCTAGCATCTCTTTCCCAGCCACATTGAACTTATTGGAACTTGCTTGCTTTTTTTTTTTTTTTTTTTTTGAGACATAGCAGTCGCCCAGGCTGGAGTGCAGTGGCGCGATCCTGGCCCACTGCAACCTCCTCCTGCCGGGTTCAAGCGATTCTTCTGCCTCAGCCTCCCGAGTAGCTGGGACTACAGGCGCGCGCCACAACGCCCGGCTGTTTTTCGTATTTTTAGTAGAGACGGGTTACCATGTTGGCCAGGCTGGTCTCGATCTCCTGGCCTTAAGTGATCCGCCCGCCTGGGCCTCCCAAAGTGCTGGGATTACAGGCGTGAGCCACCTTGCCAGCCAACTTCTTTCTTTTAATGCTGAGATACCTTTCTTTACTCCATACTCCCTTTGGTTGGCATTGTTTAGATGTAGGTTGAGAGGTCCGGCCGGGCTCCTCTTAGTCCCAGACTAAGTGCTCACGCCTGTAGTCCCAGCACTTTGGGAGGCCGAGGTGGTTGGATCACAAGGTCAGGAGATCGAGAACATCCTAGCCAACATGATGAAACCCCATCTCCACTAAAAAAAAAATAAGAAAATTAGCCGGACATGGTGACGCGCGCCTGTACTGTAGTCCCAGCTACTCGGGAGGCTGAGGCAGGAGAATCGCTTGAACCCGGGAGGCAGGCGGAGGATGCAGTAAGCCGATATTGTGCCACTGCACTTCAGCCTGGCGACAGAATGAGACTCCGTCTCAAAAGGGGGGGAAAAAAAAAAGCAGTTCCTCTATGAGGACTGCCTTTTCCTACCCCCTCAACTAAGCTAGGCCTCTGCTGGATATTCCCTAAGCATCCTGTAGTTCCCTGACCTTCATGTGCATCAGGCTTTATTGTATAATTACCTGCTGATATTTTTTCCTTGTGGACTGTAACCTCACTGAGGTCTGCGACAAAAAAAATACTTATGGCCTGGCACATCCTGGATAATCCAGAAAGGTGGTGCCTGTGGCTGAGGGTGGGAGTGGTATTCCAGGCAGAGGGACTAATGTATATAGACTTGAAGGTGGGAAAATGCTGGCCTCATTAAATAGTATGTGGTTCGGTGTTGAGGTCTTGTGCTTGGTGGGGCCTAAGGAGAAAGAGGCTGGTGGGAGATTGAGACTGGAGGTTGGAGGGCCTTTTATGTCACATTAGAGTTTGGGTGGGGCATGATAGCTCATGCCTGCAGCCCAGCACTTTGGGAGGCCGAGGCTGGGGGATTGCCTGAGCCTACGAGTTGAAAACCAGCCTGGGCAACAAAGCAAGACCCTGTCTCTACGGAGTTGTTTTTTTTTGTTTGTTTGTTTTTTGTTTTTGTTTTTTTGAGACAGAGTCTTACCCCGTTGCCCAGGCTGGAGTGCCGTGGTGCGATTTCGGCTCACTGCAGCCTCTGCCTCCTGGGTTCAAGCGATTCTCATACCTCAGCCACCCAAGTAGCTGGGATTACAGTTGCGCATCACCACACCTGGCTAATTTTTGTATTTTTAGTTTAGACTGGGTTTCACCGTATTTGCCAGGCTGGTCTCGAACGCCTGACCTAAAGTGATCCATCCAGCTTGGCCTCTCAAAGTGCTGGGATTACAGGCGTGAGCCACCGTGCCCAGCCTATACAGAAAATTTAAAAATTAAAAAACTTTTCTGGGCTTGGTGGTGTGCGCCTATAATCCCAGCTACTTAGCAGGAGGCTGAGGTGGGAGGATCGCTTGAACCCAAGAGTTCAAGGCTGCAGTGAGCCATGATCAAATGACTGCATTACAGCCAGGTGACAGGGCAAGACTGTCTAGAAAAAAGTGTTTGCCCTTGATCTATAGGCAGCAGAGGACTCTTGAGACACAGCTCTAAAAGGACCTCAGCAAAGCCTTATTTTTCTCCCTTTCTCTAAAGCTATAAAATCTTACCAGTCAGTATTTTGTTTCTGGATTATATTGCATGAGATTATGCTTATCCAAACTACTTGGCTCTCTTTATCTCCCTAGCAGATTCTGCAGGCGGGAGAAGTTTATAGCCTGTTTTGTGATCCCTCCGGAGCATGGTTTTAAGTATTTACTCTGTGGTGTTTGGATGCGGAGACATGATCTGACTTGCAGTTGCCAAGAGCTCTGTTCCATCCTATTTGTTTCACCCCTCTGTCACTTATTTCCCTCTTCCTGACCACTCTGAACCTGATGCCAGCCCCTCGCAGTCACCGCATTGCATCTGGATGAGCCACTTTTCTTCCTGATTCCCTGAGCTCTGGGGAGCACAAAGATAATGGGGTCAGGGGGCAGTGTGGCCACTGTGAAGGAAGCAGCTTAGGCCCCAGAAGTCTCCAGCAGTGGGCAGTACCGAGACGACCAGGGTGTGATCTCTCACCCCAAGGAGCTGAATTTGGGTTTTCTGTGGGAAGGTGTCTGGGAAGAGTATCAGAGACCAATAGCGCTCAGGGGGCCCTTCCTCGGGGCTGTCCAGCATGGAAGCACCCCGTCCTACACCAGTGGTTCCTGATTGCGGTTCTGAATCAGATTCACGGGGGCATTTATTTATTTATTTATTTTGATATGGAGTCTTACTGTCGCCCAGGCTGGAGTGCAGTGGCGCGATCTCAGCCCACTGCAACCTCTGCCTCCTGGGTTCAAGAAATTCTGCCTCAACCTCCCGAGTAGCTGGGATTACTGGCAGGCACCACTATGCCTGGCTAATTTTTTTGTATTTTTTAGTAGAGATGGGATTTCAACATATTGGCCAGGCTGGTCTCAAACTCCTGACCTTGTGATCCACCTGCCTCGGGCTCCCAAAATGCTTTGGTTACTGGCATGAGCCACTGCACCCGGCCTAGGGCAGCTTTTTATAAGCACAGATGCCCAGGTCTTATTCCTGAAGATTCCAATTCAGTAGATCTGGGTTGAGGACCAACCATCTGCCTGTTTTAAGAAGCCACAGGTTATTTTTGAGGTGTAGCAAGGATTGAAAGAACAGAAAACTTGGAATTTGGAAAACTAGTTGTGACTCCAGGCAGTGAGTCAGTTTCCTAATGCACACATTGGGGAATTCTATAGGAATGCTGTGAGAAGCAAATAATCCATGGAGAGAGTGCTTTATACAGCGATACACTACTGAGGCACACTTGCCTTCAACATCAGCTACCAGCCTAGTAAATGGAAGTATAAATGGAAAGGACATAACTTCCTTTAGTTTTGCCAGGTGGGTCCCTGTGATTCTAACTGAGCCCCAGGAAGGAAGGGAAGAAAATAGGGAAGAGAAAGGAATGTGTATTTGCCTCTGGGAAGGATAAACAGGATATGCCCTCTGGACCAGTAGTTTATAATATTTTCCCCATTAAGCATCCTTCTCATTTTTCCTCAATGGATTAATATCTTTAAATTTCATTACATTTCCCTAGTCTTCATGAAATTGCCAGCCAGAAAAGTCGGCTCGGGGCCCCCCTAAAAAGGAGGAATGGCCGGGAGTGGTGGCTCACACCTGTAATGCCAGCACTCTGGGAGGCTGAGGTGGGTAGATCTCCTGAGGTCAGGAGTTCGAGACCAGCCTGACCAACATAGTGAAATCCCGTCTCTACTAAAATTACAAAAAGTAGCCAGGCATGGTGTTGGGCGCCTGTAATCCCAGCTACTCTGGAGGCTGTGGCAGGAGAATCAATTGAACCTGAGAGGCAGAGGTTGCAATAAGCCGAGATCGTGCCACTGTACTACAGCCTGGGCAACGAAAGCGAAACTCTGTCTCAAAACACAAAAAAAGAAAGGGGAGTGTATGCCTGCATACATATCAAGTGCTGTAGGAAGGATATTCAAGAAATTTAGGGCCCTGGGAGGTGGGGAGACTTACAAAAATGGACATGACAGAATTATTTGAAGTCTTAATCATGAGATGACTGTTCAGTTCTTTAAAATACCACACCTGATTGGTTTTGAATGGCAGAGGCCACCAGAGTCCTTGCAGATTGTGCGCTCTGCGTGGGTGGACATTGTTTACCGTGAGCCCCAGGACCTAGAACGCCACTTGCACACTGGAGGTGCTCAGATCTTTTTTT